AAACGCGCCACCGCCACCGTGGCCCACTGCTTGTCCACGCAAGAGTCCACTACCCCCGCCTGCACCCCAAGCCTGGAGCTTCAGTAACTTTACGTCACGTGGCACTTTGTACTCGTGCGCCTCGGCAGTCACAAAGCTTAGAATTCCAGATGACAGTACATGATCACGACGATGAGCGTTCCGATCTTTCGCAAGAATTACGGTATTGCATTTGGGCCATGTACACGTCACTTTGCGTAGCTCGCAGTCGTCTTGTTCATGGGCAAGACGGGTCTGCTCCAGCGTCAACAATTCATGAGCACCTCCTTGGTATACTTGACCACATCCCAAACGACAGCGTAGATCTCCAACTGGCCTCCTAACACATAGATCCCGCATATGCGGCACCTCTAGATCAAAGTGTGGTAGCCACACGCCACACTCTCGTGGGCAGTGCACAATACGACTTGAGCATTGTTCTTCGTCCTCAGACTCGTGGTCATATATGACCTCGCGCCATTGCCGTCGCTCCATAACCACCGTGCAGCCTAGACAACATACCATGAGTCGTCTAGGACATTCAATACGCTCGTGCTCTTCCAGACTAAATTCACGTGGGAGCCACAGCTCGCAGCCCCATCGACAGAGCGCTCGACCCAAGCGTAGTCGCTCTTCGGTCCGTGTCAAAATACGACTAACACGTCGACGCTCTCTAATCGCAGGTTTGAGGTCCGTATCCTCCAGTCCGGCGTTTTCAAGCTCTTCTTCGTTCAGCTGATGCTCCATCTCCTCGCATCGTTCGATTTCACGCCGCGGATCCTCTCGTGCCGGATCAATTGAAGTCAGTAGATGGTTCTCTCGCGCCTGGAGAAATATTTCACGTTCACGGCGGAACCGAGCATCAATATATGCCAGACTCCTGCCCTTTTCGTTCTTCCTCGCCTTGCTTTTCTTCTTTACCTGAGCATTATTGCTAGTCTTCTTTTCGTGGTGATTCTCTTCGTCGCCATCAATCGTCAAGTGTTCACTCGTGACGCTGCTTTCTAGTTGACGCAGGGCAATCTCCAGCTCCGCCTTCTCTCGCTTTTGCTCTTCTGTAGCCATATTGTTTTTCTCTGCTGCCGTTTTAAGACTTTCGTCGTGTCTTCGTGCTCGTTGCAATGCTGATTTCCACTCTTGCTCCTCCTTACGACGACGTAATTCCTCGGTTGTAAGAGCAAATCTCGCCTGGCGCTTCGGGCGTTGGATTTCTTGCAGAAATCCTTTGGTTGCGAAAGTGTCGTGTATGCAGTCTCCTGAGAGCTCATTGAAATAAAAAGTGTGTGACGTCTGCGGGTAGTAGTACCGATGCCAACCTCGACCATGTGTTTCAATCTCTTCGCTACGCTCAAAAACAAGAGCGTGAGCGTATCGATAGCCTTCATGTAGCAGCACTTCATTGGGTTTCTCCACAAGAACTCGGTGATCGAGAGCGTGCAAGTAAAATGTGACGCCCCCAAACCCCTGACATTCACGCCAGTTACCGAGCGTTCTGCCTTTCACAGCATTATCCACAATCGCCGCCGATGCGGTCCCAGAAAACGTGACAGCCAGACTAGCCTGATCCAGTTCGTCTTCAAGCTGCTCTGCGTTCTCGAAGAAGCGCTTTGTTCGCCACTCTCGGGTTGGCAAACCCTCAGGGGATATCCATTGACAATGCTCCGCCTCACGATTAAAGAAGAAGTACACGTCTGTCCCATTTACTCGGTGAAGTTCCCACTCTGGACGCAACCGATGGCGCTCAACGAAGCGAGCATTCGTGTCCATCTTTTCTTTCCAACCAAGCCGAGTTCGACCTTCTTCTACCAGTTGGGTGGGTACTTGTCGTTGAACGAAGCCACTGCGTGTGTTTTCAAATAGGCGATTGTGGCTTTGAGGTTCCTCGTAGATATCCCATCCTGTGGCCCGAGCCACAGGCGTGCCATCGTTATCCTTAACAAGCTTGCGCATGCGGTTTAGAGTGTCCAATTCGTTGAATCTTGGGCCAGTCGATCCACCTCGTTTTGCCAAATTTTGCGTCGGTGAGCCACTCGTTCCTCTTCAAGACGGATCTCCTTCACTCGTACACGCTCCACTCGCTTCTGTAATATATCTTGCTCAAGGTTTGCGTCTCCTTTGGGACTGCCAGGCCGACCTCGACAGGCCAACAGTAGCTGCAATGGGGTCTTGCTGCTGTGATCTTGTAGAAAGGGACTACAACCATGCTTTTCAGACAGACACTGAATCACTCTTTCGTGCGTACACACCAGATTTTCATCACACGCTACGTGGAGTGCCGTCCGACCTTGAAGATTAGGCAGGTGCTTGTACATATCTCGCAGATAAGTATCCATGAAGAAGCTCATGTCTGACAGAGAAAGACAATCTGCCGGATCGCCTTCCTTGCGACGTCTTGCTTGTTCATCATCAGTACCATCTTCCTCCTCGCTCTTATCGTCGCCATTTGCAGCAAGTTCGTCATGAATGCCACGCTTCGGGAGCTTCTTGTGGTAGCGTGACACAAGGTAGTCCATGAAATCTTTGTGCGGGGTCGGCATCGTGCAGATTCGGGTGTTGTCGCCTCCGTTCCCAAAGAGTTCGTGATGCAGCCATTGCACAGATTCAAACAGCCACGAATAATGATAGCGGCGACGCTCCTTTTCTCGCAGCTTCCTCTTCATAATGGTCTCGTACGTTTTCTGCAGTAGGTGCTCGTAGCATTCACCACGTCGTTGCGGTAGAGTCGTGAGGAATAATCGAAAAGACTCGTCATGAGCGTGTAGAAGTTGGGAAGCAATCGTGGAGCTGCCGCTGAATGCAGCCAAGTGGAGACCCGAGTTCTTCACATTGTCCAGCTGAAATATGCCAGCCCCGTGGTCCAGCATTAGTGCAGTGATGTCGCTGTGGCCATATCTCGCAGCGACCATCAGCGGTGTGCGGTGGAATGAATCCAGTTGGTCTACTTGAGCTCCTTGCTGAAGGAGTAGCTTCGCGATAGAATGGTAGCCATGTTTACTAGCGATATGCAGAGGCGATTGCATCAACTTCGTGTTCATGTCCAACTGGAGCGCGTTCACGTCTTGGCCACCGAATATGAAAAGCTCAACCTCGTGTAATACTCCTTCTTCCAGTACACGCAAGAAGGAAAACGGCTTCGATGCTGCGGTGCGGGGCGATTCAGCACCGTTACTACAACGATCATCACGATTTTTGGCAATTTGAAGTAGACGCTGCGTGAACAACGGGCTTTTATCCGGCATATATCCTTGTGACACAAGCTCGCTCAGCACAACACTGCCATCCATCCCGCGAGCAAGTTCTTGCTGGCACCAGTGAGCCCATTGCGGGTGTAATACTTGCACTGAAGGTGATGACATCTTCTCCACTGCAGCGATACTGCGTGCTGTACGCGAGGACTTGACAGGTGACACTGGACTGCAAGCCACGTTATTGCCAGGACCCCCCGAGCTGACAACTCCCGCGTCATAAATGCCACTCGGAGAATTGCGCTACAGTTGCAATCAGAACGCGTGAGCAACGGTACACTGGACGCTGCTAAGAAAGCCCTTACCTATCCTTCCCATGGCCTACCTTGGTCCTCAGCCGATACGATGACATTCTGGTCGAGATTCTCTGCATCAACGGCATGTTCCCCGTCAACAAGAACCCTTTTTGCGCCAGTGTATGCATCAGCTTCTTGACACTTGCTCCTCTCTCGATGTTAGCAAACAGCCAGTTCTCCCACTGCTCCGGTAGTTTCCCGGGCTGCACTGCAAGACCTGGTTGTAGCTTCTTAATCTTCACCAGTGCAGCTTCAGCAGCTTTAAACTTGGCTTCTCGCGTTGTTTTGCCCATGGCGCTCACGGAATCTCTACCTGTAGGGCCACACACTTTGCCCACGAGGTCCAGTTGTATCTGAAGGAGCTCGGATGACTCGCCATTCGGTGCTGTGTTGTCTTCGTCATCCTCTATTAGCTTGTACTCGACCTGCAACCCGAATTTGGCCGCCTCCCGCTCCAGCAATGCAACCGGTGTCGTGTCCAGCGCCTCCATGAACTTCCTGAGTGCTGCAAGTTTCGTGTCGCCCCGCTGGAGTCGGACGATCATCTGCACAAGCTCCGCAAAGTCCAGAAGTCCGTCGCCGTTAACGTCGATGCTTGTCACAAGAGCGTCGGCCTCCGCAGCGCTGACCTGGAGCCCCATTCGAGTCAGCAATGCTCGGAACTCCCGCTCATCAATAGAACCACTGCCATCGGCATCGCTGACACGAAATTGCGCGACTAGCTCGTCAGCTTGAGCTGGCGTGAATGAAGAGCGGTACTCGGCTGGGATCTCCAGGTTTCCGGTCATGGATGCGCACTTGAGTGCGGGCTGTGAAGCGACGCGGTGACCATCATTTTGCTTAAGTACGGTTTGCAGGTTGCTTTTTTGGCGGGAAGTTGTTTGATTGCGACGATGGCGCTGAATATGAAGGCAAAGGAGCTGGTGCGTGAGCTGCAGCGCAGCGACTGGTTGCCGCCGTACAATGTGAGTGAAGTGGAGAGATGGGGGAAACCAACAGCTTCTGCTAGCGGGGTGTCAACTGTGCAGGCTCTGATATTGATGACCGCCGTTTGACGCTGTGCAGGAGGATCTCGTACGACAAGTGGTGGAGGAGTCGGGGGTGCTGGGGGAGGAGATCGAGCGGAAGATGGCGTATGGCTTGCTGTTGGTAAATTGAGGCGCTGAAATGGCTGAGAGATCTGAATGGTGCTGCTGCTTGGTGTGAGTGCAGCACGTTCAAAGACAACTTGACTGAGAACACGTACGTGGCGTGCGGCCTCGTTGTGAATCACCAGTGCTTGCTGCGCAACAAGCGCTGTCTCATTGCATATCTGTAGGTGGCTTCCAGCACAGTTGAAGTGAATGGATAGTGTTGCTGATGAGTTGGACTCTGTTGGTCTCTCTTGACAGACATCACCGTATCGAAAAGATTAAGGCCCTGCGGTGGGAAACGGGCACCATTATGCCCGCCCAACTAGCCCAGAAGTGAGCTCACTAGCGCTGCTACGAACTGTGAAGCACACAGTGGCAAGTCGCTGATATTTTTTTTGTCTTTTCCAGTTTATGCCAGCGCGAAGTGCAGTTCTTCAATCAGTACGACCAGCTTCTGACGGACTACATGGCCGACTTTGAGCTCGACCTCTCAGCGGTACGGCAGCATTCATTGAGCGGTTATTGTTGCTGTCGCTTCCGTGCTGATTCTTGCACTGTACGTTGCCTACAGGACATGAAGCCACCCAAGGATCTGTATGTGGAAGTGCGAGTGCTGCGCGACTGCGGCGAGGTCATGACCGAGAGTGGGCTGGTGAATCTGGAGGCTCACTCGCAGCATTTCCTGCGCCGCGTGGACGTGGAGCAGCTCATTCGCCAGGGATTGCTGGAACAGATCAAGCGTTGATCTCACTTGCACTCTTTACATAAATGCAAAAATCTTTTCCCTCCATTTCATTCGCGTCCATTAAGATCTGTACCGTCAACAAAGGTTAGGTTTCCTCTGACGCCAGCAGCCAATCAGAGTCTAACAGACGTACGTCAGTCTCCTGCCACTTCGCAACATATCGCCCAAGAGCTACAAGTGCAGCAGGTGCAGTACACAGTTTCCGGAGATGGCCAAGGAGGACGCCACCTCTCCCGTGTCAGGCGGCGCCAAGCCTGCGAGCCCCAAGAAGACCGCAACCAAGAAGAGCTCCAGCTTTGTGCTCCCGATCGTCTCTGTCGCTGTCGTGGCAATCGCTGTAGGCTGCGCCAAATACGCAGATGTACCGCTGAACGCCGATGGTTTGCTGAGTCTTGTAGACCAGATCTCGAGCTTCGGGGCCAAGCCTGGTCTCGTGGACTCAAGCACGGAGAACGTTCCGTTCAAGTATGAGACGGACATGGTGGCCATGCAGGTTCGCCATCTTGTGAGCGATCTCAAGTGCAATGATTCCGACTACACAGCTACCACGCTCTTCGACGGCAAAGTGTTCCACGTCACGGAGCCCATGGAGGCCGAGCAGCCCATGACCGATGACCGAGTCTTCTTCATGCTCAACGGCGCAAACGACGGTGTGTATGTGTCCTGGAACGGCGACTTCGAGTGTGTGGGGAAGGCAGCGGAAGTGGCTGCAGCGTGGCTTGGAGCAGACCGAGACGTGATGGTCAACGGCGTGCGTTTGTACAATCAGATGGGCTGGCCTGTTCGAAATGAGAAGGAGCTGCGTGAGACGAAGAACATCGTCCACGTGTTGCTGGACTTCCAGTTATGGCAATGGCCGGGTATCAAGAAGGGTTACAAGTACGTGTTGGAAGACGGTGTGACGTTGACGACTGTGGGTATGAGCCCCAAAGTGCTCGACGTAGAGTACTTCCTCAACCAAGAGGAGGCAGATAAGGTTATTGAGATAGGATCACCGAAATTAGACCGATCCAAGGTCGACGGCAGCAACTCGTCCAAGGTTGTGACCAAATCACGCACGAGCCACACTGCCTTCTTGCCCGACAGTCTGTTCACACGCGACTTCCAGAAGCGCTCGGCTCGTGTAGCACGCCTACCAAGTCCGTCCTTCGTGGAACGCATGCAGCTGGTGCGCTACGCAGCTGGCGAGTTCTACCGTCAGCATTTTGACACTTTTCATTCGCGTGAGTTCCTGCCGAAGAATGCCGACTCATTCGAGTACGAGGACTATGTTGAGTGGACTACGTGGGCTGCTGAGAAACTCCGTAGCTTGGAGCAGAGTAAGGTGCCCGAAAAGTTCCGTGAGGGTGGTCCGCTCTTCCCGAACGCTGAAAACCCCAAGATCTTTCCCAACGCGCTGCTTGAAGTGTTTTACGACTACATGAACACTAGCAACCGGTTCAAGGCCTTGTTCGATACCGACCAGAGCGAGTGGATCCGCACAAATCTAGACAGCGGAGCCGAGAACATGATGGAGGACCTGATGGACGAGAAGAGGCGCCCGTCGTATCTGCCTCGTATCGTTCAGACCTGGGAGGAGAAATTGGGTCTTGGTGAGCTACGCTACACATTCCCCAAACACGACACGAACTCCGTTTCCCACTTTTTCCAGTGGGTTCGCTGGGCCAAGGAACGTGTGAGTTACCTTGGAGATAAGGTGCCTGTTTGGGCCCGTCCGGATGGAGAATTGTACCCGAGGTTCACAGTGGAGTTCCAGGAGAAGCTGGTAGGCTTCATCCTTGACGACTACACCAAGGGCTTCGTCACGCGCCTGACCAACCCTGAATGGTATGAGTGGCTGGCACTCAACCGCGGTCGCAACCACGTTCTTTTCCAGGCTATGCAGGCTTGGCCTCAGTTCGCAGAGCTGGCAATCCGCACATGGGAAGCTCATGTCGGCAATGTCCCGGAGCTGCGTTACACACTGCCCGAGTACATCCAGCACTTCCACCCGCAGCGATTCGTCACGCTGTTCCTTTACTTGAACAACCAGACCAAGATCGGCGGTGAGACGGTCTTCCCGTTCTCGCTGGACCGATACTCGAATGAGGAGATCAAACGCGATGGCATGGACGAGTGCTCTACTGGTTTGGCGGTGCCTCCACTTGGTCTGCATGCCTCTCTCTTCTACGTCCAGACTCCAGAGGGAATTCCCGATGTTATGAGTCGTCACGGTGGGTGCCCACCTCACGAGGGCGTCAAGTGGGGCGCCAACTCGTTCATGTGGGATTCGGACTCCGAGGAGGGCGCAGATCTGTGGACCACTAAGTAGTTCGTTCTCCTTGCGATGCTTACATGTAAATCATGCACATGGTTGCGACGTCCTTATGCAGTTTAGTGTCTTCAACGCAAAAAAAAATTCCTCCTGGAAGTTCACACTTTTCTGCACTGGGCAACAGTTTTTTTCAGTTTTTTTTTTTTTCATTTCATTCCTTCAACGCGACGAGTCCGACTGACCATGGCGGAGCAGAAGAAGGCTCCTAATGCTAAGGCCGCAGCGATCAAGTCTCCGCGTCAAACTCGTAGCTTAAGTTCCGTCATTCTGAAGATTCTATCGGTTGTGGTGGTCGGAATTGCTGTAGCTGGCGGGTGGGTCGTTCAACATGGCGAGGACTTCGATGACGTGGCATTGAAATTGCTGAGAGATACGGGGCTACTGCCTCGAGTACCTTTGCGCGTCCTCGGGACTTTTGGGCTCTTGCCGGACAAGTACGACACCGATCTCGTCAATATTGAGCCGCGTCATCTCGTTAGCGATCTCAAGTGCAATGATTCCGACTACACAGCTACCACGCTCTTCGACGGCAAAGTGTTCCACGTCACGGAGCCCATGGAGGCCGAGCAGCCCATGACCGATGACCGAGTCTTCTTCATGCTCAACGGTGCAAACGACGGTGTGTATGTGTCCTGGAACGGCGACTTCGAGTGTGTGGGGAAGGCAGCGGAAGTGGCTGCAGCGTGGCTCGGAGCAGACCGAGACGTGATGGTCAACGGCGTGCGATTGTACAATCAGATGGGCTGGCCTGTTCGTAATGAGAAGGAGCTACGTGAGACGAAGAACATCGTCCACGTGTTGCTGGACTTCCAGTTGTGGCAATGGCCGGGTATCAAGAAGGGTTACAAGTACGTGTTGGAAGACGGTGTGACGTTGACGACTGTGGGTATGAGCCCCAAAGTGCTCGACGTAGAGTATTTCCTAACTCAAGAAGAAGCTGACAAGGTCATTGAGATAGGTTCACCGTTCCTAGACCGGTCGAAGGTTGACGGCAGTAACTCGTCGAAAGTAGTGTCCCAGGCGCGCACAAGCCACACAGCTTTCCTGCCTGACAGCTTTTTTACAAGAGATTTTCGGGTACGCTCTGCTCGAGTGGCTAGACTGCCAAGTCCCTCATTTGCTGAGCGACTGCAATTGGTTCGCTACAATGCCGGGGAGTTTTACCGCAAGCATCTGGACACCTTTGCATCTCGTCAATTTCTGCCAAAAGGAGCTGAACACAAGTTTGGCATAAAGGCCTACAAGGAGTGGGCCAACTGGGCTGCTAATGCGATCCGTGAGCTGTCCACAAAACGTGAAATTCCGGAAGAATTTCGCGAAGGTGGATCACTTTTCCCGGATGCTGAAGACAACCAGCGTTTCCCCAACGCTTTAGCTAAACTCTTTTATCCTGAAGCGAACGCAACTAACCTGTTTAAGGCATTGTCGGACGAAGCGTGGCTCACGTGGTTGGACGAAAACGTTAACAACAATGCGACGGGGGTCATGGACAGTCTTCTCGCTGAAGACAAGAAGCCGCACTATTTACCTATGCTCGTCAGTGCATGGGAAAAAGCTTTGGATCTACCGGAGCTGCACTACAGTTTCCCAAAGCCGGAAATGAATTCAGTGTCGCACTTCTTCGCGTGGATTCGATGGGCCAAGGAGCGGATCAGCTTCCTAGGCGATGAAACTCCAAGTGTGGCAAGTCCATCGGGAGAGCTCTACCCAATGTACACAATTGAGTTCCAAGAGATGATGCTTGGCTTTGTGTTGGACGACCATACCCCAGGGTTAATCACTCGTATCACTAATGCTGAATGGTACGACTATATGGTTGAACACCGTGGAAAGAACCACATTTTGTTCAAGGTACTCAAAGCATTCCCGCAATTTGCGGAACTGGTGATCAAGACGTGGGAATCCCGCGTACGTGCACCCGCTCAATTGCGTTATACGCTACCTGCTTACGTTAAGCATTTCCATCCTCAACGGTACGTCACCCTGTTCTTGTATCTGAACAACCAAACCAAGATTGGAGGCGAGACAGTGTTTCCCTACTCTCTGGATCGGTATTCAGACGAGAAGATTGTGCGTGATGGCATGGATGAGTGCTCTTCCGGGCTAGCAGTGCCCCCTCTGGGCTTGCACGCTTCTCTCTTCTACGTCCAAACGCCCGAAGGCGATGTGGATCAGCTCAGTCGTCATGGTGGCTGCCCTCCGCATGAGGGAACCAAGTGGGGATCGAATTCCTTTATGTGGGATTCCGATGCTGACGAAGCTGCAGATCTCTGGACCACCAAGTAGATTCTAAACAGAATCGAAGCGCCCACATGTAAAACCGAGCCCCTCGCACGTTCAGACTGTCGATGTTGTTTTAGGAACAACGGACGATTACGAAAGTTCTCGATGGCCGACCAATTTTCTTAGGCAAACCCAGCGAACTAGCGTGTGATTGCGAGCGACGTAGTACTGCACACTGAAGATTTGGTCGCTCTATTGCCTGGTACCAAACTTGATGTACTTCGAAGTAATAAATTGCTCGGCGAGCCCGATGCAGTCTGCATCCCAGATTAACTCTTTATTTCTGCCAATATGAACGCGTTATTTTAACAATCATGGTCGAGCAGATCCGCATTTGACATTCGTCTACATGGATACGCAATGGCGTCGCTGCCCCGCCCTCTACGTGCACGCACGGCGCGCACCCGACGGCACGTTTCACCGCTTTGGTCATTCCTTCATTCGCGTCGGTGAGTTCACTCCCTCCAGAACCAATCGCGGGCTTCTATCTCCTTCTACTGGCTGAGCAATGGCCAAGAAACCTGCTACGGATGCAACATTCACTTCAAGTGCGGATGCTGCCCCGCTTAAATCAAAAACGCAGTCTGCGTCGTCATCAAGCTCCCCGCTCTCTCTTTTAACGCCATTGATGGTCGTAGCAGCCGCGGTGGGCTGGGGAAAATTAGCCCAACGAGAGCTACAGGCCGAGACCGTGCAGGAGTTGGTCGCCAAAGTGTCTGACCGACTCAGTACCCAGTTCAACGAGCTCATGGACCCTTCGCCTGCTGCTGCAGGAGACGAGGAGCTGCTGTACAAATACGATGACGAGGCGCTCATCGCGATGGAAGTGCGTCATCTCGTAAGTGACTTAAGCTGCAGTGACGACAAGTTCACAGCTAGCCCGCTAGTCGACGGCAAACTCATCCCAGTACAAGAGCCTATGGGGCTGGAGAAACCAATGGGAAACGACCGCGTCTTCTTCATGCTTAATGGACGCAATGACGGTGTGTACGTGTCTTGGAACGGAGATTTCAGCTGTATCGGCAAGGCAGCAGAGCTCGCGGCCGCGTGGCTCGGAGCTGACCGCGACGTCATGGAGAACGGCGTGCGCCTGTACAACCAGATGGGCTTTGCCATCCGCAGTGCGGAGGATTTTGCTGAAGCCAAGAACATCGTTCACATCCTGCTGGACTTCCAGTTATGGCAATGGCCTGGCATTAAAAGGGAACACCAGTACGTACTGGAAGACGGAGTGGTGCTCACGACAGTGGCAATGAGCCCCAAGGTCTTTGACGTGCAGTACTTCCTAACTCAGAACGAGTCTGAAAAGATCATGGAGCTTGGTATGCCTGGTCTCGCTCGTTCCAAAGTGGATGGCAGCAACTCGTCCAAAATCACGTCCAAGTCCCGCACAAGCCACACAGCCTTCCTGGACGACAGTCTCTTCACTCGCAACTTCCGAGCTTGTGCTGCTCGCGTGGCTCGGCTGCCTAGTCCAACGTTTGCGGAGCGTCTACAGCTGCTGCAATATAACGCAGGTGAGTTCTACCGTCAGCACTTCGACACATTCCACTCGCGTGATTTCCTACCCAAAGATGCGAATGCCTTCTACTATGAAGACTACGTAGAGTGGACCAAGTGGGCAGCCCAGAAACTACGTAGTCTGGACCAAAGCAAACTACCCGAGGAGTTTCGTGAGGGTGGTGTCTTGTTCCCCAACGTGGAAGACCAGCAGGCGTTCCCAAACGCTCTACTTGAAGTGTTCTACCAGAAAATGGTGGCCACTAACATGTTCAAAGCTCTCTTCGACGAGGAACACGAACGCTGGAAAGGGAGCAACTTGGACAAGGACGCTGTCGACCTTGTGTAGGATCTGATGGACGGGAAGAGGCGACCGTCGTATCTACCTCGTATTGTCCAGGCTTGGGAGGAGAAATTGGGTCGTGGTGAGCTGCGTTATACGTTCCCGAAGCCACAGGTCAATGGCCAATCTCATTTTTACAATTGGGTGCGTTGGGCGAAGGAGCGCGTGAGCTACCTGGGAGACGATTGCCCGCCTATCGCTCGTCCAAGTGGCGACCTGTACCCGCAGTACACGGTGGAATTCCAGAAGCGCTTGTTGAAGTTCGTTTACGAAGACTACAGCGACGATTTCATTATCCAAATGACCAACAAGGAGTGGTTCAAGTGGCTTGCAGAGAACCGTGGCCGCAGTCTTGTGCTGTTCCAAGTACTCAAGTCGTTCCCTCACTTCGCTGAGCTGATCATTCGAGTGTGGGAAGCTCGTGTACGAAGCCCTCAGCTGCGATACAAAGTGCCCAAGTACGTGAAGCACTTCCACCGACAGCGCTACGTGACTCTGTTCATGTATCTGAATAACCAGACGAAGATTGGAGGTGAGACCGTGTTCCCATTCGCTCTGGATCGCTTTTCGGACGAGGAGATCGTGCGTGATGGCATGGATGAGTGCTCGAAGGGTCTGGCGGTTCCACCGCGTGGACTACGCGCGTCATTGGTCTACACACAAGCGACATTGATGACATGAGTCGCCACGGAGGTTGTCCACCCCACGAAGGAACGAAGTGGGGCTCCAATGCGTTTATGTGGGATTCGGACGCCGACGAAGGCGCTGAGCTCTGGACTACCAAGTAGAACAAAAGAGTGAATGTATGTGCTACATTAAAAGTGAGACGTATCGCCGGACGAGGAATTTACGCTGGTTCAGCGACGATCGACGCTTGCAACCATCGATAGCAACCAAGACTCCAAAGGAAAGTTGAACACGGATTCGATCCGACTACTACCCATGCTTCAGCAATCTACGCGAGCGCTCGTTGAAAGTAAAACAAGGTGAATCACTGTCGTTTAAAAACCCAAACTCTTGCACTGGTTAGATACCGTGGATACTACTAGTATCCTAGAAGCACCAGACGAGCCGATGTTTTGCTACATACTCGAAAGCTCCGCTCACCAATGCTTTTTTTATTCGTCGTAGCGTATCTGGATGCAGCGAATACGACTCCAGCTAGGACGGCAAGGCTTTCTTCTCGGCGAAGAAAAGATCGTAGCAAGCATTCCTATTCGACTCGTCCACTTCTGTCACCGGTAGCACAAATATGTGTGATCGATTTTTCAGAAAACTCGGGATTATCATAAGAACGTGTAGGAGCATTTTTCTTCGTCTAGGAAGCCATACACGCTACTGAGGAAACCGTAGTTCTCTCAGTTGCTTGACAATGGGATTGCTCCGCGACGAATCCGGCTAATTCCTTCACAGAGACCCGAATGCTGAAGTCCTCCTTGATGATTGATTTCCAGATATTATCGTGTCCGTGGTTCCGTAGTTAATGACATAGAAGTTTTTATTACCAGTTTGCAACTTCGGATTGAGAAGATTTCCATCGTTAGCATTTTTTTTATTGCATACAGTAACAACCACAAATTAACGCAATCGATAGTAGCGTGTGCAAAAAAAAAAACATAAAGCATTACTGATTATTTCGAGCCTTGGACGAACTGCTTGAGTTATTGACGAAGACAATGAGATCCTTGGATCGGTTTTTGACCCAAGGTGGGCGGAACGCGAAGTAGAGTCCACCGTCACCAGGCTTCGCATTCCAGTCCTCCGCTACTTTGCGTAATCCATATTTGCACGCCACTCGGTTGGTCTTGCAAAAGACGTTCATGTACGCGACGACCCCATTCTCGCACTCGATTGAGACGTCGTTAAAGCGCACGACAATGTTCTCGTCTCGAGCAGGTGCGATGGAGAAGTCGAGACCCTGCCAGTCTGCAGCGATGACTTCATGCATCTCCTGGATAAGTTGAGGGATAAGCTTCCGGGTGACAGCGTCCACTGGAGGTCGCTGTCCAGACGGCACAAATGCGCCGTGCAAGATTTTCTTCTCTTCGAGGTAGCGCTTGTGCTTTTTCTCCTCCATAGTGTCCGGGTAGGGCTCGTGCATGTGTGGATACCGAAAACTCGTAGCTCCAAAAGCGTCCTCGTGTTTGAGTCGCACGGCTGCACCGCCACTTACGAAGTCCTGACCACTGATCTCGGTACGCTTGGCCTCGGAACGGAGTCTCTCCATGTGTGCCTGTCCGTCCGAGAGACTGAAGCGTGACGGTGTGTACTCGAACTTGTTAAAAAATCCGTTCTTAGTGGCTTTCTTGCCAATATTGGGTTGTATGAGTCGATTCTCGTTCATCTTCTCGAAACGCGCCTGGTTCACGGCGTTATTTCGTAGTCGGGCGGGCATTTTCTGAATATTAGTGTAGGATCCTGTTCCGAAGGCATTGCGGATCTGGTCAGTCTCGGAGTTGGCGTATTCTGGCAGGATAGACGAGAAGGTGGGTCGCATGTATCGCGGCGGCATCTTGGTCTGCGTGGGTTGCTGCGTGTCATCGTCGCCTCGGGTGACCACGGGGGTCATCTTAAAAGTAGCGAAGGTGCAAATATAAGAAGTAGTGAGCTAAAAATGCCGCTGATTTTTGGTACTGTATGTTGAAGTTGACCCATCACCCCTTAAGTGCGGCTTAAGTTCGAGCTTCCAAGGTGACGCGCTTAAAGCCACGTTGCACGTCGCTCAGCATAAATCCTATCGCAAGCCTTGCACGGCGGCAACAGTTGCTGTAAGCCTTAGGCAACGCATAAAGCTATTTGATAGCGGGAACTGCAGAAAAAAATCAGCAGCAAGAGTGGCAAACGACGATTTTCGGCCCGACGACTGCAAAGAATTTGTTTAGAACGAGTACATGCACAGCACTATTAATAGCTCTGCAGATTAAGCAGCGACAGAAACAGCAAGTCAGAGCTCGGCACTCGAACAGCTCACCGCCTGAAGACTTCAGCAAAGTGGATCGTTTGCCGTTTTTCTGACCGCGAAGCTGCGTTTTGGACCACAGCTCGTTGGCCCTTCTCGACAAAGCGTGGTGCTGTCGCTTGCTCGAGAGCGGACCAACGGCAAGATTTGGGGTTCCGGCTCCTTCCGCAGAGGCGCCGCCTTCGGTGCGAAGTCTCACCAAAACTTTCGTCGTGACCTCGCCAGCGATCTCATCCTGGCAGAGTAACTACGTGACAGACACTGGCACTGTAAGCAACGCTCTCTTTCTTTAAGCATGCAGCATTACGCCTCCGCGGCGCCACCTCACTCGCAACCTCTTCATCGCTTCAAATGCCATCATGAAGGTCTTCCTTCGTAGGCAGCTGAAGGCGGCAAGGCGATCAGAGTTCGGTCACCTTATCCGCTTTTTACACTCACTTTACCATCAGCTGGACAACCGAACGATGCGCTAAATTCTGACTTTCTTCACATAGCCCGTACAGGATCTCAAAGCGATTGGTGTAAAATCGACAGCATCGTTTTCATTGGCGCATAATCGCCTGCTCCTCTCCTCCCTCTTTCTCTGCTGCCCCCTCCTCAGTCAAGCATTGCGGCCAGACGAAGAGCACCCGAGCACCACTCCAGTCGCCCGCTTCCTCAAGCCCCTCGAGAGCCGCTTTGCCTGCTCCATGGGCCGCAACCTCTTCGACTTTAACATCGCCAACAGCAGCTCCAAGTTCCTCAGTGGGAACGCCGCCGCCTTAAGCGACGACCAGGACACCGGGCTCTCATCCACACGCAGCACCGCAAGCTCCTCTGCCGAATCGCTCGCGACCCTTTCTCACGGTCTCCCGTCCCAGACGTCCACAGCCGCAGACATGGAGGCACTCAATCAAAGCCACAACCACCGCAGTCGCACCGCAGACCACAGCAGCCGTGGAGACCGCAAACCCATGACCTTCACCAGCTCCATCATGGGCACCAACACCACGACAATTGTGGCCGGCGGACAAATGCATCAGGCTATGGGCCACGTGCATAATGCCAACGCTGCGGCTGAGTCCAAGGCCAGCAAGAAGTGCTCGGTATGTGGTAAGAGCTTTAACCCGCTGCGTCGACGACACTACTGCCGCACATGCACAGCCGTAGTCTGCAGCTCGTGCAGCATCTCCAGGAAGGTTGAGAGTACATTTGAAGGCGCTATTACAGTGCGCATGTGTGTGAGTTGCAAGCTCAGCTCCATTGCGTCTCAAGACGACTTCTACGACCGCATTTTTTCCACCAATGGAGGAGCGAACGGAGCTGCCACGTCGGACTCGCAGCCTAGTGGAAGTGACGGAGACTTCACAACGGACCGACTGAGCTTTGCCAGCTACTCGTCTGGAACGGGAAATGGCTCCAAGGACGACTCGATGGCGGATTCTCACGCCCCTATGGAAAAGCGGTCAGCCAGCGGCTCGAGTCTTCCCGTTCGACGCAAATCCAGCACGACGAGTGGCAACGGCAATGCTGAGCCCAGTGGCCAACGAGGACGTCATGATTCCTTCACTGGACCACCTGCTGTCACGGAGGACTGTCCGTGGTGCATGAACGAGGCCTGTGCCCCGCTGCACGAGTACTTTGAAGTGCCCTACCCGTTCTTTTTGGAACTGGCTGACCCGGCTGCTAAGAACCAGTACATTGCAGCCAAACACCTTGATAACGAGAAGGAGCGTCTTCGCTCGGTACGAACTATCCGCGGTGCACTCAAGGCCGGCACGTCCGCTTCGCAGACAATTCAGCAGCTTTGCAACATGGCTGCCATTGCGACTTCGAGCCCTATGGCTCTTGTGGGTCTGCTGGACAAACACGTGTATGTCCCGTGTGCTGAGACGGGTCTGGGGTCTCTTGATAAGATCGACAGACAGAAGAGCTTGGCGGCACACGCCTGTCGGAACGGTTCGCCGCTGGTCTGCAGCGACTTGACGCGCGACGTCCGCTTTGCTGCTAACCCGTGGCGGAGAGATGTGCTGCAGGCGCAGTTTTACGCTGGTATCCCACTTACGCTGTCGAGCGGCCACACTATTGGAGCTATTGAAGTGTTTGACGTCACCCCACGATTCGCCTGCATGGACGTCATTTCGCAGCTGCAGACTGTTGTACGTGGTCTTCTACGTAAGTTTGAGGAGATCTTGGCTAAGAACGAGGCTTGCGGAGAAGAAGAATCATCGCACAAGTCTTCGTCTTCGTCAGGTCGACGGACACCGAAGAGCGAGAACGGAGAAGGCAAGCAGCGCACCCCACGTGCCCCAGCTCCCAGTGCGCCCAGTGCGCCGGCCATTCCGCCGCCGAAGAAGTCGCCGAAGCCACGAGCACCTACCACTCCTAGCCACAAGCCGTCAGGTCCGGCTCCTCAACCGCCTAAGCCTAAGGGGGAACCGAAAGCTCCAGCACCGGCACCTCCGGCTCCGGTAGAAGCTCCAGCACCTGCTCCCGCCCCGGCAGCGTCTGCAGCAGGCGCAGAACCCACGCAGGAAGAAATGGAGATGCGACTCATGCAGTTGCTGTCTCAAACCACTAGCACACAGGAACAACTGCGCAACCAGCAGGGACAGATGGTGAACGCTATCAGCAGCCACTCGAAGCAGATCAGCGACTTGGCCAAGCAGCTTGAGCGCATGGAATCGACACTCGCTGCGAAGCTCGGTATGGATGACGAGGACTCTCCTGCTAAGGAAGATGCTGACGCAGCAAGTGCGTAAACTTACAGTTGCCCAGGTAGTGAATTAGTAGCAGCGGCGTCGTAGCAGGACGATGTTGTGCAAATGAGGAAGAGCCTGTGCATGCTCGCATTGGTTCGCGCCGTCTGTTAATGCGTTTAACCCCCTGTACGCGAATGAACCAAAGCTTGAAGGACACAGAGAGAAAATCTTTTAGTGTTGCTAAACCCCCAACAAAAGTTGCGTGGATTGGCAATGTGCAACATGCAACATGCAGCAACAATTACAACAAACGTTTTCTCTACTTTGAGTTGCCGTAAGCTTTTTTAATTGATAATTAGATCGAGAATACTATTCGACTCGGCGTTCGCCGTCTAGCTTCGCCGCCAGCGTGGCCTCTATCCGTTCGAGTTGCTTGGCCAAGTTGTTGATCTGCTTGGAGTGACTGGTGATGGCGCTCACCATTTGACCCTGCTGAGTGCGAAGTTGTTCCTGCGTTGAAGTAGTCTGTGACAGTAGTTGAAGTAGTTGAGCCTCCATGGGGTTCACGGCTGAAGCTTGTTCCTTCTCCTTCTTCTGAGCTGTTTCTTCTTCATCCTGTTGCTTCTCAGCCTCTTCTTGCTCTTCTCGTTCCTGTTGCTCTTCCTCTTGCTGCGCCTCTGCAGCTGCAGTCATGATCTCTTCAAACAGGTTGAGTAGTCCGCGTACCACAGTTTGAAGCTGGCTCAGAACCTCGCCACAGTCGTACCGGGGCTGCGCGTCGAACACTTCCAATGCACCGACTGTGTGTCCATTGGAGAGGATCAAAGGAATGCCAGCGTAGAACACGGCATTCTTGAGACTCTCCACTCGCCAAGTGTTTCCATTGAAGCGCACATCTTGAGTCATATCAGAGCACACAAGCGAGTTGCCACTTCGACACGTGTGAGCTGCCAGCGACTGTTTTCGAGGCACTGCAGCATCAAGATTAACGCCGTACTGAGACCCCAACACGTAATTATCACCGTCAAGGAGTCCAACCACGGCAACGGGGCACTGACAGGCAATAGCTGCCATATTACAGAACTGACGCAGCACACGCGTTGCACTAGGAGTAGCTGCCATGGTGACCAGTAAACTCTCGACTGACTTCAAGCGTTCAGCTTCGTTTTCCAGCCGCTTAGCCGCCACGAATCCAGCGTCAGTTGGTGCGTCTACCGGGTAGGAAATCTTGAGGAACTCAGTGATCGGACTGCAATTCTCGTTCTGGCAGTGCTGGCAGAACGGCTCTGACGTTTCTAGACTACATGCAGCAACGCCGTTAGATCGTCGACGAAAGCTGTTGCCCATTCCGTCGCTCGTTGAGGACGTAGAAGTCAATACGTCACTAGCACTCGCCGAAGTCTGAAGCTGTGGGCTTCCCTCTACTACATCATCAGCTTCACCGATGAAACTGGCATTAGAGCTGAGCTTGCAGCTGATACAGACTCGAGAAGGCGACGCAGCGCCATCTCCTTCACCGTTGGTGTTCATCGGTCTTCGGATCACACTACAATTGCTGCAGATAACTGCACGGCATTGACGACAGTGATGACGTCTACGCAGCGGATTGAACGACTTGGTGCAGATTGTACACTTTCTCGCTTTCTTCTCCACGTTGTCCACTGAAGGAGGAGGACTGTTGCTCGTACTAATACTGACCGTGGAGTAGCGTGTCGCTTCATCATCGGATCCGGGAATGAGTCCGATGTTTCGTCCGCTGTCCGAGGAACTCGTTGACCGATCCAGGAACGCCGAACTCGAGGTCGCTCGTCGACTTCCACTCGACACATTACTCGCAGCCGTAAAAGAGCTCGCGTCCACTGCGTCGGGACTTGCAATATATTTCCAGAACTTGCGCGAGTCCATATATTTCAGAAAATGTGCCACGTAGTAGTCGCCTTCCGTGTCAGCTTGACCGTCCTCAGCGTTAAGTACAGCGATCACAAAAGGTTCCGGTGAGTCGGTGAAGTCGCGGTCCCACATGACATGATGGAGCAAGTTCATGGACACCAATTGGCGACAAAACGCAACGCCCGTCACCCGATCCGGAACAAGGCCTTGATTCACAAGAAACGTCACGACCGATTCACCCGTTGCACATTTGACTGTCAGGTCCGAGCGGATGCGAATCGGGTGCAGCATCAAGTCTTGGCGCATTTTGTTGGTGACCGGGGCCAGTTCCCGGGCTGCGAAGCGAGGGTCGAGGCCTCGAGGACTGGTGAGGAATTGCAGGTTGATGGAGATCGCTTGCACCCACAGATCTCGATCTTTTCGTGACTTAGTGCGGAAATTCACTTCCGTTTTGGGGAGTAGCCCGCCATTGCAGGTCAAGTCGAAGCGTCTTGGGAACTTGGTGGAAGCCTCGGGGTTGGAAATATCCGTGACACTGACACCCAGACCGAGTTCAACTGCGCCTTGGCGAGTGGAATCGCGTTCCCGCTTGTAGACGCAGATCCAGCGACCTTCGAGTCGAACGAAGCTGTCGGACCAGGTGGAAAAGGCCCCTGCCTTGAATTTCACCTCCAACGGCCCGGCCAGCAATTGCAGGGAGCCAGGCGACGGCATCTTGTGGAGCGGACGAGATTTCCAGGAGTGGCGAGGGATAAGAAGGCAGCAGGAGGTGAAGAAAGAGAGCGAGCGTGGTGGACTAAAATGCCTGCGCCGCCAGATGGCGGAAGCAGAGGGCGTCGAATTCAGAAGCAGCACGCCAGCCGCAGAAGCACGAAGGGGTCACTTGATGACTGGAGTGACACCACCTGCCGACACTCCGTCTTGGTTTGGCTCTCTCCCAACGCTCATGTACAAGGATAGACAAGGAAAGGAGAGAAGGTATATATAGCGATTCGTTATTAGCGAAGACATGTGCAGAACGGATGACGAGAGATTGAAAATTCGAGGTGGCAAAGGGGTCAAATATGACCCTGTAGTGGCGGATGGGATTCTAGAAAGAGACGGCATGATATGGTGGACCGATTCGCTGGAGGTGCTACGAAGCGTGGTGCAATATGCCCCAATGCTTCCACTCTGGAAATTCCCATAGAACGATCTGGATGGACGGATATTAACAGGCTAAAAGGATTAAAAGGTTGATACTGACCTTGCGAGTTGGAGTCCGACGTAGAAACCGCGGATTACCAGCCTTTTCAATTCAGTGAGAGCATGTCGTTGCTGGATTTGGCTTATGTGGGGATGAATCTCAGCTGGTCCTATTGCACTGCGCACGACTGCCTCATTCACAGGCTGACAAAAAAGTAGTGTGTGTTGCTTTGAGCTGCTGTGAATCAATTACTTTTCATTGAGATCACATAGCTGCAAAATTATTCCTGCCGTAACGTTAGAAATAATTATTTGTATGAGTCGATCCAATATAATGCGCTGGTTGGGTGCACCTCCCTGTACATCCTCAATTGAGTCGACGTCGTGCAACGAGACTGCTCACTATAATTCACCGATTTTTACTGCCTGTTTTCTTCTATTAGTTTTTAGACAAACCGACAAAATGTCATCGAGCAAATGGTGACCACTCCATTGAATGTCTGAGAGGGTCGTACAGCGCTCAGAATCACCGACGAATATGACGGATCGGAGAGGGATTAAGAGATGACAGTCCAGTGGTGACCTTCGAACCGAAGTTCTCCAGTGGGAAAAGCCCACCCAGTTGTTCCGACTAGGACAGTGTGCTCGCCTTCATCGCATCGGTGGAAAACGCACACCGCGTTCAGGACCAACCTGCCATCGTGTAGTTGCACTGTCGAGTTCACTTTGTTTTGACTTGGTCTGCCTGTCACGACAAATAAGACAGGTGCAGTGTGAGTTGTACGTCGTATTAATAGTTCATCCATCCATTCTAATTGCAATACTTACGAAGCGACTAGCCCTGTCGCCGCCTTCACTCGATTGAGCAAGAATCATCCACAGGATATCTGCAGCTCGTTTCGTCGTACATGCCATTGAAGTGATAGAGTTCGTCTCAAAGCAACCCCCGTGCGTCAAATTAATTCAAAAAGTCATCAGCACGTTAAGTTCTAATGAATTGAGGTCCGGGTCATCATATGCGCTTGAATCGCCCGTAGTTCACCGTTCACCTCCTCGGCGTACTGGCGCTTCTGGCATTCAGTCATAACTCATATCCACGCAGCGGTTTGATTCTTATGTGTTGCACTCCCACATACTGCGGCACTTCCGTGGCCACTTCACAAGTTTGCTTCGACGCTTCTAGTTGTTTCACCTCTTGCCGAAGTTTCCGCGTCTCCTTTACTCGTCTGCGCTACAACGCCGTCGAGTACAGCCTCGAGTCCAACGATCTTCAACTGCTTTTCTTTGCCGCTTTCTTCGGTGGCACGTTGTTCAAAGTGTGCGTGATTCGCTGCTCAGGGATCCATTTTTGGTTTGGTTTGGGGTCTTATGATTACGCTTATCTCCCATTTGCTAAAACCAAGCGTTTTTACCATTGGCAGAATTAAGTTCTCTTCTTTCAGCCAACCACGGCCGAGCAGCTCCGATCCAACCATCCATTCTGTCTTTAACATGTCGTCGGACTCGCGCGCTGTAGAGACGGCGTTGGCGCGCAACTTGCTGTCGTCGGTGCTCGCTTTAGCTTTCCCCAGTGAATTGGAGAACGATCACGCTGCGCTGGAGTCTTTTTTGACCCAACAAGCAGCTCTGCGCGAGGCTTTGGAGCGCCACAATGTGTTCGGACTGGTTACAGACGGGAAGGCGCTGACTAAATGGCAAACCAGGCTGCTACAGCTCGTCGAGGGATCTTCAGCCGCTCGACGTGTTGGGTGGGAACTTCTGCAGACGACGGTACGTCAGAGTCCGTTGGAACGACTCGAAGCACTGGCTGTGAAGCTGCTGGAACGCATTGTGAAGGTCTTGAAGCAGCAGCAGTCGAGTAAGACTCAGGACGACGATGCGGAGTACGCTACAGCTGCTGCCTGTGGCGTGGCTCAAGCCCTTTTGCTCCATGTGGACAAGTTCAACCCAGACACGCGTCGGGAGGTGCTGGAGCTACTTGGAAAGCTGCTGCAACCACTAGTGGCACTGCTGCGGCAGACCAGCAACTCCCCGTTGGTCATTGCCCAATTGGATCTCGTTGCAACGCTGCTTCGCTCCTCTCCTAACTCACTAAGGAGCTATGCTATTAAGATCGAGTCGGCGTGTGTGGACTTGTTGTTCACTTGTGAAAGAGACAACACTGAGGCGGCTCAGAAGGCGACGGTGTGTCTAGCACTACTCTGCAACGCATCAGATAAGCCACAGCAAGTGTGGACTCAGATGGCTCAGAAGGCCTTGGAGGCGGCACATCAACAGCTCGACTTACTGGCAGGCACACGCTCCACCGCTCCATCAACTGAGGGACTCACAGGCAAGAAGCTGTGGGTCCAGGGAGCTGCAAGCCAGCAACTGCCGATCTACCAACGTGCCGAAGAGACGCTGACCAGAATGAACCGTGCGTTAAGTGCTCTTCACGAACTGCTAAGTGCTCGCACGGCTACTCTAAGTCGTGGGCAGATATCGGAGTGTGAAGTGCAGCAGATTCTACCGGAAATTATCGTGTTTGCTCGTCGTGCGATGGGCGTGCGTGCTCATGAAGTGGGCAAGCACACGGGAGTGTCAGATGATGGTGTGCGTCTCCCCGTTAGCGTCGTGTACGCCGTGTTACCGCGTGTGCACGCGCAGGCTCTGACAGCGCTAAGCGCGGTGGTGGAACGTGCCGGTATCTGCGCTTTGCGTCATGCTAGCAAGATCACGCGCGTTCTATTGCTTGCGTCTGAGAGTGTTGGTGACGGGGAAGATCTTCAGGCATTTGCGGATACTACAGCGGTGTGCGCTCGTCGTCTGGGCGCCAGTACAGTCGAGAAACTTGGTGTACCGTTGCTGAACGAGTTGGTCACACGGTGTAAGCGTAGTCTGGAGGAAAAGAGCAATACGAACACGTCAAACACTGTGGCTAAAGCACTGGCAGCTCAGCAGAACGACTCGAAGAATAGTGGGAACAAGAGCAAGAAACGGAAGCGTCAAGCTGCTGCTGCCGCGACGCTCGCGGCTCTCAACGGAGGCAACGCGACTGCATCTCAATCGAGTTTTGTGTCATTACGTGACGAGACTGTCGTTGCAGGGACGCTTGAAGCTGTGCTGACTGCTATCGCTGGCTGCGTAGGCGTCTATGGATGTTTGTTGCCAGAGGAATGTCGCTCTTCGGCCAGTGAGTTGGCGCTCAAGGCTGTTCAGCGTCGACATGTCGTGGGATCGAGCCACGTTCAAGCTGCTGTCGACCCGGTGGCGCTCGTTCTTGTGTCGGACGCGGTGACTGCGGACTTCTCGGGCTCGCACGCTGCTAACTTGCTTCATGGACTGCAGTACTGGCAGCGTCGCGTCATTGGTAGCGGTGGCGCTTCCTCAGCTCTCCAGCTGGTAGCTCTTAACGCAGGTGAAGCCATGCTACATCCACGTGCACCCCCGATGGCTATTAGCTTTCAACAGGGAGCTAAGAAGGAGCAAGAGAGACGTCGCTTTGGAACGTACGCGAAGACTTCGAAGGAGGAAACTGTTCTTGGTGACGCGATGGACTGGGATGAAAACGAGAAAGATGAGAGTGAAGACGGAGAAGAGAAGATTGAACAGGAGAAAGACAAGGAACCGACGAAGATTGAGGCACCTACAGAAGAGAACGATGAAGAGGAGGAGGAAGAAGAGGACTACGACGATGCTCGGCCTCAGGCTGCTGCAACGTCGACGGAAATCGAAGAAGATGAAGCTGAAAATGAGAACGATGACGACGACGAAGACGAAGGGAACGATGAACCAGTCGCGAAACGTGCCAAGGACAATGACAAAGAGCCTGTCGCTACGGTCGAGGCTGACGATGACGATGACGACTTCCCGGACATCGTTGTGGATGATGAATAGATTTTGTACGAACGAAGCGCGATCAGGTTGTGCCAAAACTCGTTTTGCGCGACAAGGGTTGAGGTGTTTTCGCTGCACTTCAATAGAGTTTTTAGTTGACTTTCACTTTGTAAAACAATTCTTCCACTTGCAATATTAGGGGCTGAGGTGCAGATAACCCTCATCCTCCCGTGACCTCGCTGGAAGCAGTGGCGAGCTCATGGACGCATCCGCATCCAGCAAAATCTCGTCATCCTCGTCGTTGGAGCCGAACTTGGTAGCACTTCCTGCTCGTGTCTTTCTGCCACTTCCACATGTCTTGGACTTCACAGACGAAGAGTTGTGTTGCACCAGTAGCCCAACGCCAACAGCGATAGAAAGCAACGCCAGCGGGTAAAAAACTTTGTCCGTTGTCGGAAAAGGCTCGTCGTCGTTCTGGTAGAAGATGGCGCCTCCAACAACACTGAAAGTGATCCAACAGGCTTGAAAAATGGGGAATACAGTCATGATATCCCCCAATGCCGTCGCCATATTGAGGAAGTGCGTTTGCACGAGGATGCAGACAAACATTCCGCCTAGAAAAATGTAGGTCAGACCGTACTTGAACTGATTCTCGCCCTTGAGTGTAAGAGCGATCATGATGGCGGAACACTTGGCCAGTAGCACAGTCATGGCGCCCACGATACCCGAACAGATGGCGTAATAGTACGGCACACGAGATTCCCGAGCGGCAGCCTCATCGTCAGCCTCGGCGTCTTCAGCATTCGTCGATTCAATTAATTCCCGTAGCTCTCTGCTCATAGCAGGAGGATTCCCCAGCCCTGTGGGCAGTGACGCAGGTGAAGTGGTGACTTGTAGCAGCTTCACTTCCATATCCAACAGCCTCTGTTCCAGTCTCTCGACTCGAAGCTCAAATTCCTAGCGACAATGAGCAAAACCAAGCTGAAAAATTAGGATTGCAATGTATTTTGCATGTGAAATTCCGAGCCGAACCTTCATGAGCTTCTTCTGTCGCTTGTTGGACCAGTACACCTGGTTCTTGAGTCGGTTGGCAACTGAGCCCTTGATGGTGGCCAGCATGCTCACGGTGCAAACTCCAACGCATGTGATGTACACCACGAAGGCTGCAAAACAATTAGCGAAAAATGTTACAAAAAAAGTTGCCGTGACGTAACATTTCAGCCAAACGCACGAGTTCGAACGAATCTCAGCTCAAGCTCCGGCAGCGGGTACTCGACATTCGGCTCGGCAATACACGCGATCATTACGACTCCCATTATGACGAACAATACGCCCCCCACATCCGTCTGGTAATGAGGTGCAAAAATTATCGACCCGGTTAGAGAAAACGAAATGAATCCTAGGATACTTTTTTTTTCTTCATTCATTTCCCCTCACCTTGTAAAGTCTCTCCCCGTTTAGACACTGGGCAGTGACAACGTTGGCAACAAGCGTTGCCCCGCCGCCCAGCGCCGCCACAAGCGACTGTGTGGCGAATCCAAAGGCCGCAAAGTCACCCACACTGCCGAGCACTACAAGCGCGAAACCCACCCACCACACCGGACGGCGGATGTACGGCCGACGCTCGCGCACGGGTCGTGCTGCCTCATTCAAGTGTGAATACTTCTGGATATTCACGCCAAGATTGGACACTATCGATGCCACCACGGCCAAACCGGCGCCGAAGGCCTCCCAAGTCTTCATCGCGGATACCGCGAGTGTGACTGTTAACAGTGCTAGGAATGACGGTCAGGCAGTTGAGAAAAAGACCCGGTTCTGTTCATTTTGGGTTAAACGCGTAAAAATTGGGTTTTTCGTGTGTTGCACTTCGAAGGTGCAGCCATGCAACTCGATCCTGAAACGGCCGAGTGACTATTTTTGGCAGTCGAGTTCTCTTCCCTTTTTGTCTTCTTGCATCTGACGCCTCTTGGTGTGCATTTCGTGGGGCGGGAAAAGTGCAACAGCAACGGTGGACGCAGCAGCGAGCGTGTTAGCCGACGCTGCGTACGGCGGCGTAAGATGAACCGCTACAAAGTCACCAAGCAGCTCGGCGACGGTACCTATGGGTCCGTGCTCAAAGCCGTGAATCGTCAGTCGGGAGAAGTGGTGCGTGCGTCAGAGGCAAATGCAAATAAACGAAAAAAGAGTCTGATGAACTTGTTGCTGGTATTCAGGTGGCGGTTAAGCGGATGAAGAAAAAGTTTTACTCGTGGGAAGAGTGTATGCAACTGCGAGAAGTTAACGTATGTGTAAATGTAACATTTGCAATGAGAGGATTATTTTGTGACAATCGCTATCGTTAATGCTTATAGTCGCTGAAGAAGCTAAATCACCCCAACATTATTAAGCTCAAGGAGGTGATCCGTGAGAATGACGAGCTTTACTTCGTCTTCGAGTACATGGAGTGCAATCTGTACGATACAATGAAGAAGCGAGATCGGCATTTCCCAGAGTCCAAAATACGCAACCTCATGTACCAGATGCTTCAAGGGCTGGCTTTCATGCACAAGCACAGCTTCTTCCATCGAGATATTAAGCCTGAGAACATGTTAGTCAAAGGAGACACCGTCAAAGTCGCAGATTTTGGGCTAGCGAGAGAGATCCGATCAAGACCGCCATTCACCGATTACGTATCGACCCGGTGGTACCGTGCGCCAGAAGTTCTACTACGCTCAACAACTTACAACTCACCGATTGACGCTTGGGCCATGGGCTGCATCATGGCCGAGATGTTCACACTACGCCCGTTATTTCCGGGCAGCAGTGAAGGCGACCAACTCTATAAAATTTGCTCCGTATTGGGGAATCCAACGCACAGTACGTGGCCGGAAGGTATGAAACTTGCTGCGCAAATGAACTACCGATTCCCGCAGTTCGTACCGACATCTCTAGCACAGTTGATTCCTCATGCGAGCCCCGAAGCGCTCCAGCTAATGACGGATCTGCTTAAATTCGACCCGAACCAGCGACCCACATCAAGTCAGGCTCTGCAATATCCGTTCTTCCAGGTAAACGTGAACGTGGCCACACCGTTGACAGTATCAACCCCTAGCGGCAACAGTCAACAACAATACGAACGTGCAGAGTCGACAGAGAAGCTGGCAACATTCACTCCCCCGCAGAAATCGGCAGGAAGCCAACGAAGCGGCAGTGGACAGTATGGACGGAATCAGCAGCCAGCAGTGGACATGGCTGCATATAGCAGTTTGCGACAACAGGCAGCTGTCGTATCAGCGTCGTCTTATGGAATTCCGCGGGTACCTCAGCGTAACGCGATGGCGGCAGCAGGCAATAGTGTGCTTACAGGTGGAACCCCAACCGGTCTAGGTCTAGACAGTGGCAACATGGAAGGCAGTCGCTACACACGACAAGCAAGATACGCTCCAGGAATGTCATATCGAGGAGAAAGCGACGGAGCGAAATATTCAGGTGGAAGACCGCCGTATGTGCCCGGTGGACTCCCGTTAGGCTCCACGGCTGCTGTAGGGGGCGGCGTCGGCGGGACAGGCTTAAGTGGCTATAGCAGACACAAATATTGACTCGCAGAAAGGAAACGGTAGCGCGTCGACGTGACCAAGTGGTTCTCATTCGACGGGATCGTCACGCGTGTCTTGCTAGAACGCGTAGATAGAGAGCAGGAAAGACGACAATGTTGTCCTCATTTAGTCGAGAGACCAAATTCAGTGAAGTGAACGCTACGTCTGTAACAAGACAAGACCCCGTCTAGGTAAATCTCGACTCGATTGGGACAACCAACAACGTAAGCCACTATTTAGATCTCCCAATGTCTTCTCATTACTAGGCGCTTGCGGTCGATTCTTCCTCCGTCTATTGCTGCACGCCGGCGCCAGCGGCAGCCTGGTCCATGATTTCCTTCTCCACTTGTGCCATCTTGACGCCTAGTGAGCTGTAGGCCTGCATGTACTTGCCGGCGCAGCGGTCGATGCAGCTCATCTCACCCACGTTGAGTTGGCCGTCGTTGTATTTGAACTTGCACTTCTGGAAACACACGCGCGACAGGCGCTCGAACAGATCCGCGTAGGATGCCATCTCCACTTTGGCCATCATGAGCTGAGACTGCTGCGAAGGTTGCTGGGGCACACCAGGCGCCGCGCCGCCCATCATACCGCCGAAGTTCATGGTGCTAATTGATCTAATGTAAAACGATGGATGTGGTTGGCGTTTCTATATTTATGTAAGCCACATAAATTAGAAATAGCACTTTGACTACCTGGGAATTTCACGAAACGACACTTGAAGTGTAGCCATGCGAGTTGAAAACGAGGATGAACTGCAGCTCATTGTGGCGGACGAGCAGCTCTCGAGTCTCGAAGATGTGGTGAGAACTATGCCAAGAGCGCAATACCTCAACGTGACGGTGCGTACTGTAGTGGAGAATAGTTCGTGGTGCAAAGAACTACAGTAATGTTTTGGAATGACTACACGCTGGGTTGGTAGTTTAACTGTATCAGCAGTTTAAGATACTTGGAGAAGGTCTGTCAGCTCGCATTTCACAGCTGAACATTCATCAAGATTTATTGTAAATGTGCATTCTTCGATTTATTCAGATGAAGGAGCTGCGTAGCCTCGACATCTCGCATAACGCTGTCGAGAGTCTACAGGAGGTGGCGACGCTGTCAAATCTGCTGGTGCTTAAATGCTCCAGCAACCAAATCGCCGATCTGAGCTGGATCGCAGGACTAAATCAGCTGGAGGAACTGTGGATTCGAGACAATCGCGTCGAGAGTGCGCAAGTGGCGCATTTGCAGCAGCTTTCCGCACTCCAAACGCTGGTCATCCATCCGAATCCGTGTACCGAGCGAGGTGACTATGTGTACGGCCTCGGTCATCTAAATATTTTTCTACTGATAACTTTAGTGCGTGTTTAACGTGGGTTCTTGTTAATTCTAACAGTTTGGCGATTGTTAAAGTACTTCCGTGGCTACAGCGAGTCGATACTGTCGCGATTACGGAGGAACTTCGGGAGGAAGCGAGGCATGCAGAAGAAAGAGGAGATTTAGATTCAGGAGCAACTGATTGCCCCCTCTTTTCTCTGTCAGGGCGATCTGAAGGTATAGCTACACACTTCCCCGTTGGTCTTTCTCATAAACTGATCCAACGTGTTTTAATTAATTTGTTTTACTAGATCCAAGATCGAACGAGACTTCTGTTAATGACAGGGTTGCCACACCACCAGCACCACCTGATCAACCGAGCAAACCAACAACGTTGAAGAAACAGGTGCATTTGTCTTGCCATGACGTCCTTGGCAGTTCTGACGCAACTGAACATTTTCTTGTCCTCTCAGATGACAGCCGAAGAATTCATGCGAGCCTTTCCGGTCCAGGACTTCATTCCTGTCGACTGCAACGGAATATCCACAGCTCAACCAGGTAGTCGGTCGATGGTTTCGGTGAATGAAGTGCTGCAGCCCCAAACTGCAAATTCTGTTGCATCAACTCACGCCGAAGACAACCAGAAAGAGACTGTTACAGCCGAACAAGTGTTTGTTAGCATTGGAAACTCGCTACTGAGTGACAACGGGTTGCCAAAAGTGGGGATGAGTGATAAATCTGTTGCGATATTGGACTCAGTGCTGACGCTCCCGACATTTGGTAACAATAGTTTCTTCAAGAAGAAGAAATCGCAGTCTCAATTGTCAGTCAAAAACAAATCACGGCAGCGCGGTAAGGCTAAATCAGCTTCAATATCGCAAAATGAAAGTCATAAACCATTTCACCAAGATCAGGAGTACACGGTTGCGTATCCGAACAGCACAGTGAGTGCAATTCAGGTGCGACGTGATGGTTCGGCTATTGCTCGGTGGGCTTCTGGGAGCGTCGCAGTCAGCGTCGACTACGAGACCTCTCCAGACCGTAGCGGATATCGAGTCTATGCTGCTCATAAGGATGGTCAACTAGCTCTGAGTTTCGACCCTGCTGGTGTGGGATTCTTAAATGCCTACCCAAGCGGGAAAACCTTGCTGTCGACGACATCTGATGGGAATGGCTTGTTGTTTGACATTGGGACTGGTGCCATTGTCCGACAATGGGATACCAAGGGAAATCTTCGCGATGGCACGTGCCAACCAGCTGATGCTCTGGGAAGTGAACCTGACGGCTCCCTGTTGTGCCGATTGAGCGAGCAACTTGCTGTTCGCGTTCAACTCACGCATACACGAACAGCTCAACAAGAGTCTACCAACGACATCAAGCGAGAAACAACGAGTCCGATCGCGCTACGCATTAATTTCGCAGGAGCAACAGGGATTCGCCACGTATTCTTAAATTCTGCTAACCGTGCGGAACCCTGTAACGCAGATGCTTGTGACTATGCACTTGGTAAAGCCTCATCAAAAGAAGACATGGCTAAGGCTGCCAAACAAAAGCCACCGCCTATGGAGCACACCGATTTGCTAAGTAGTATTCGCGCTGCAGTTGCTGGTCTGTAATCTGGTTACTATTTTCACTAAGTTGATGACTTCGTTTGGTTGTGGCCTGTCTAACGCCTCAAGCAGTGACATCGAGCTTAACCTGCTTGACTAGTACAGTTAAAGTTTTTTTTTTTTCAGATTAAGAAACCAGTTATCCGCTCAATCTCAGGCTTCGTGTCGGACGCAACGCTCTGAGTGCTAGAGGTAGAGACTGTTCCCTCGGTGGATTTGGGCACCCCGCTCAACGGTGGATACTCTTCGCTTAGAGCGAGCTCTGTTGCGTTTACTCGTCCACGCCATCGAACTACTAGCAACGCGACCACAAAAGCGATCGTGGAGATTGCCACTGTTGCGATCCCGATAATTGCAATCACAGTAGCAGTCCTGGAAGCTTCGATGTTTTCGGTGTGCGCTGCTACTATTGACGCTGGCTCAACGCGAAGCGACAGAGGAGAGATCGTGTCTTCTTGCGTTGGAATCGGTTGTGATTTCCACAGTTTTTTCAGATGAGAAAACGAATTGACCGGATCCTCGTTGAGGATCGGGCTTTCCGGTTCTGCATTAGCGACGGCTTGCCTGACAATGGGCTGCTCGGTATGAAGCGGGATCTCGTATGGATAGAAGATCGACTCTACCATTGTCGAGAAGTCCAAGTTGCTGGCTTCTAGTCGTAACTCTTCCAACGATTTCTGATCAAGTGTCTTGTAAATCGACTGCACCACGAAGATATCACTTTCAATCGCTTTCTGGACCAGTTGCAACTCGTACGTGTACGGTCGACAGAAGTAGATATCGCAACGTCCAGTGGGGTTTACTAGTGAGAGCTCGCAACCATCGACTGAGAAGAGGTAGCTCGTTATACTGCTGCTCACACGCTTTCGAATGGTGCTGATGGAGTGAAGACAGAGTCGTGTGGTTACGGTCCGAAGGTAGTTACTTTGGTATCGGACGGCGTCCAGGGCGACTTGAGCAGCTGCCTGCGTCAACGGTACGAACTCCCAGGCCATCGCATCGGCCTCGAGCTGCATGTCGTCGATGACTAGAGGCAAATCGACGGATTCGGAGACCATGCCTGTCTGCTGCGATCTCGGCCGATCTTGTCGTTGGACGGCGGAAAGCTCGTTGCGACTTTTGGCGGCATTTGAGATCTATGCCGCACTCGGATTCCTTGGCGTTGCCAAAACGATGTTCAAGTACAGTAGATCAACTAAAGAGTACAGGATAAAAAGCGAGGTGGCATGGTCGTCTTTTACTAAACTCAATGAGCTCAATTGTACTGTGCTCGTTCAGGCGAAGAGCTCTACCTTTTCCAAGGTTATTTGGCGGTTGTTACCACCGACGCTGTCTCGACTACATGTAGCCATCAAGAGCATGTTATCAGCAGTGTTAATGGTGCTCTGCAAGGCTGAATTGACTCGGATTCTGTCGTGCACTTGAATGAGCCACAACGAATGCGATAGCGAAAGCAACCACAGCCACCGCCACTGCGACGATCCCGATGACGGCAACCACGGAAGCCTCTTCAGATTCAGCTCCATCACCAAGAGCTTTATGGGATTCCATGGAGACTGTCACAGCTCGAAGAGACAGCGGCACAGCAGCGATAGCAGACTGTGACTACATGTAGAAGACATTCCCGTCGGTAGTCCACGCATTCGGCTCATCATTGAATGTCTTTGATCCTAGCGTCAACAAGCCATCACCACGCTACAGATTGCTGACTATGGAGTGGAGCATCTGCAAGCTTGATGTCGGAATCAGTTGGTGGAGAAGTCTAAGTTGCTGTTTCCTCGCAACTCGTCAATAACTTCTGATCAACCGTTTTGTAGATAGACCGCACATTGAATGCGGGGTTTCCAAGCACTTTTAGCATGAGTTGCAGCTCGAACGTATAAGGGCGGCAGTCGTATATTTCACATCGCCCTGTGGGCTCCACTTGGGAGAGCTGAGTCAACGGTTGACAACCGTCGACTAAGAACAAAAAGCTTGCAAGACCACTCTGTCACCCGCACACGAATACTGTCGATGTACATGTAATGCAAACACAAGTACTGACAGTCCGAGCGTAGTTTTTCGGGTGCCGAACGGCATCGAGAACATCTTGAGCTGTTTGTAAAGTCAATGGGACGAAGTTCGTCCCGTTGACAGTCACGAACGTCCACGCTCCAGCCATCGATTCAAACATCACGAACCGGTGTCGCTGTCTGTCTCCGATGACACAGTATCGTCGATAAATGGCCATTCACCTGCGTTCTGATGCACGGTGCTGTCAAGGAAGACACCGTCGGAGCTGGAGCTCTCACCACAGCGATCGTGGTCTTCTGACTCGGAAGAATCCATGGACAAAAACCAGTGGACCTTTCAGAAATGGTCTGCAAACTGCATCGGGAGGCTGGCAAATACGGCTTCTTCATTTGTTGGCCGCGTTTGAAATGCGGGGATCTTTCTCACGGCACTCGGTGGCCAGAAGAAGGCGAAAGCGACGAGAAGCACTAGCAGCGACTTTTACGCCTCTTCGAATGTTTCCGGTCAGGCGTCAAAGTCATGTCGGGCTCCAACTTTCTCTACTGACCAAATTTCGCTCCTGTCCTTCGTTTCTTACTGCTCAGCTCCTACTTAGTGGAGGTCTCTACTGCTCTTGCATGCGATCACGAACGGATATTAGACTTGTGGACTCGGTAGCATTGTGACAAAGTCTTCGTTCTCATCTTGGAACTTTCGGCTTCTCTTCTTTTGCTTTTTTTGTAGCCTTCAACTTGGGCATCAACTTGGTTCTACAGTACCACTTGCAATGCAAGTTGCATGTACATGTACATGTACATGTACTACGAGTCGTAGTACGACTGTAGCATCAGATCAGTCTCGAGCTTGCTCATACATGTACAGATACTGATCGTTGCATGCACATTGATTGCAATTCATAAACTGCCAAGAATCCAACTCCAGAACGGCACCTCTGTCGTTGAATAGAAATCTCACCGCTCATATTGTGCAAAACACATACCCTGCTGGTTCACTTGCTGCTTGTTTTCTCGGTTCATTCTTTCATATCGCGGTAGTTGTGCTGTCCCAGTTTACTGCTCGCGAGTGTGGATGGGGTTGTAACGGAGGCGGTCACGTCGTCCCTGGTGCATCTTTAGAACCGCCACACCAGCCAGCACCACCGTGAACACACCCAACATAGCAAAAACACCGGCAACGGATCCCTGCCCCTGTGTCTCATCCACTTTCTCCTCCACTGCGAAAAACGTAGTAGTCTCCTGCCACGGACGGTCAGGGTGGTGGCTCACAATGTAGGCGTAACGGTCCTTAGTCTTTCCCGTGTTTTCCTCAAACAGCGGGGTGCCTCCCGTGTACATTATCGTGGCTGCGTCGCCATACTGGTTGAGTCCGTTGGCTTGGATCCACGCGTCAACCTTCTTCTTCTCATTCGTCGACAGAGCTAAACGCAAGTACCAAAACACCCACCAATTCACACAAAAATGTTAATATCCAACGGATTAAAAAAAAAAATGGAAGAGTGAAATTGCATTTCTTATCACTGCGACTTCGTTCCTCCCTATACGAAATCAGAAAACATAGCACGTTGCTGCACCGAGCTCTGCAACATGGTCTCCTCGCTGCTAGAGGCAGAGGTGGAAGTAGACGCGGGAGTCGGAGCGGGCGTAGAGGAGGAGGAAGCAGTCGCTGCTTCCTCGGCCTTGATGTTAGTAACCTTGAGAGTGTTGGTCCACGACTGCTCAAAAATCTGCACCACGAAGCCCGAAAGCTCACAAGATGATAAAGCGGACGTCGAGCACTCGCCGTCCGAATCAGTGACATCGCATCCGCTGATGTGGAAGCGGTAGTTGGTACCAGCCACCACCTGCGTCTCCAGCGACGTCACCTCCGAGTAGCACACGCGTTTGTCGCCTACCGACTTGGAGAAGCTGCTGCCGCTCAGCGCGGTGCCTAGCAGCTTCGTGTTGTCCTCCGTCACGTCGGCCGGGTGCCAGCTCCCTGTCATGCCGATAGTAACGACGTCGCGCGCCGCTGCGAGCGCGGGGAAGGCCACCAGGATGGAGAGAGAAGCGCGCATTTTAGGATACTGTTGAGAATTGACTGGTCTTCGGTAGGCCACAAAACACTGTGACAGATAGCTGGCTTTTTCAAGAATGAACCAGGGATTTGGCTGCGATTGCTTCTGGTAAAATTGACATCTGGGACAGTTGAAAATGATGGGACAAACCGAGTTTTGCTTGTTTTCAGTAGGGCTCAGTTGGTGTTTCGAAACACTAAACTACCAATTTTAAGGTAATTGGGGCGTATTAATACATCGATTTTAAAGCATCGTCGATGAAATTACCGTCCTACTGTGCACAATCAGGCGTCACGTTACAGCTCCGGCGTCGATAGGCGCGAAAACAAGATCTTTAAGACCTACGTATCACCAATACACACAAGACCAACAATCTCTTTAATTTTTTGTCTTGTGCTCACTTCTCGATTTCCTACGACTAAACAACCACCCTTACATATATTAAAGATTCTAGTCAATAGCTAGACGCCACGGTGGGGATGGAACCACGTCTTGAGTTACCACAGGAGCAACATAATCGATTCATTTGATCTCGTGTGAAGCACTATTAGCTGCATTGACAGGTAGAACTACGCTACCCACATCCGAAAATGATTCATCTCTTCTTAAACAAAATGGGTCTGCGTGACTGGACGAGGTACATCACTCACCTCGGCCAGAGCGCCACCGTCGGATTCTATCGCTGATTCTACAGCAAGCGGTGGCTCGTTACCCGTTCGTGGATATAGGCTACCCACCTGTCGCCGATGGGAGTGGCAACTGGTGCTCCCTTCTTCTCCTGTGCCGCTATCGGATACCATCGCAGCGTTGTAGCCTGAAACGTTCACCTTGTTCGTGACCGTGGCATTTGGCGGTTCACTAGCTCTTTGCTTGTAGAGCAAGGTCCGGGAACCATACACCGCTTACTCGACTGGTGCTTCATCGACAGCATCTATTAATTATGCTGGGTTTCGCTTGCTCTGGTGACCCCCGCGGGAGCTCAGGTATCTAGCGGAAATGGGAACACAACTCATCAATGCGTCAGAGAACGTGGGATGGCTGGTCCCACGGTCTTGCCACACCAGTCGATCCAGTGTTCGTGCTTTTCGCCATACGGCAGCTCAGGACCAACTCGTATTTATCATCAATGTCAAGAACCACGAGCGCCTCTATGCTGTCGAAGCCCTCAAATTTAACAGCCAGGCCTACGTTGACCTTAGGTACTTCGGACACCGTGCCATTTGCTAGCCTGACCGAGACCAGCTTATTTGGCGCGGTTGCGTGCAACCACCTAGCGTCACGCGAAGCTCTTCGATGCGCCAGAGTTTATAAAGCTTCGGAAGGGATGGTCATATCCTCGCACGCGTATGTGTACTACAAGCAGCTCGCCTCTGCACTTCTTCCATCCGAGAGTACATAAACCCTGAAGGGTAAAGCCTGTATGGTGTGCGCCTCCGAACACCGCTCATGACGACTTAGACCTTCCCGGTACGACGCCTAGCCTATACAAGTATCCTGCGCTCCCCTGGTTCTTGGGTTACGCCTTCTACCGGCGACCCTTTAAAACCTGGGATAGCGGAGGGTCCCACCTCCGCTGCCGTCCAAAAAGACAGACACGCTTCACGTGTCCAAGCTGGCTACAGCCGAAGCAACCATAAGTCGCTCAGCTCAGCCACGCCAAAACTCCTTGATCCGTTGAGTATCCGGGACCGCGGTTGCTACTATGCACTCCGGTTGGCTCATGGTTACTCTAGCAGGCCGTAACGCAATACACTTCTTGGAGAGCAGCCTGTATTGCCTCCTCCATAGTACTAATTTGAAAGAGAAATTGCTGTGTTCCGGAAATCCATCCATGGACACGGGTACCTTAGTGTGTTCAGGTAATTGTTTTTCACCAGCGTAGCAGTGAGCACTTGCACCCCTTGACTCGCTCCTCCCTAGCTTGCAGGTGAGGAAGCGTGAACGCAGGCGATATTCGCTGTTCGCCGGAAAGAATTCAATCCACAGTTGCTCCAACCGCTGTGTCCATGATGCGAATCATCTGGGCGACGTCGCATCGCGTGTAAACGACCAACGTTTAGCTCAGCCACTGAGGCTGGAAAGCGCGAAAGCGACGAGAATTGATCGTCTGTGACGAGAGCCGCGACCATCGCAAAGTACACTACATGAGCCGATAAGTGAAGGGTTTTACCTTCCTCCATTTCATAAGGGGTATTTTTACCTGGAGAGATTCCGGCTGCATCGGTTTCGACTCGACCATTCTGGCTCGTAAGACCCCCTCATATGAGCGATGAGACCTCGTTCGTACATATCAAACGCGTTCGTATGGAATATGAACACGGGGCAGAATACCAGCCCATGGACTGTAATCCATCCATGCGTAGCCCGAATGCTTTTGCCACGCACATTGTGCATGCAGGCTGTCCCCGTCTCGCGGATCCAGAGTGGAAAGCTCTCCAAAGACTGTCAACAGTCATTGGAGAGGCAGCCGTAGCGACAATACTACGTATGCTGTCGCCGACAGAGCAACACGGCGTTGCTTTGGGATTTATCGTGAGCGAGCAGCGCGATGCTGCTGCTACTATTAAAGTGTGGTCCAGCACGACACCGCGCGTGTAGTCGTTGAAGCTGCACGTGAGCAATTACGTGGGAAAAGAGGGCGAGCCTCTTCTCTGATGGCTTGTCGAGCTCGACACTGCCATAGCGGCTTGTCATATCACCGACAAACATCGAAGGTTGCGTTCGCCATGCCATGCCTTGGCGGACGAGCGAGGAGCTGGGCGTATGGCCCCCGGCTCACAAACCATACGTGCTTTAGCACGTACGCGATATTTAAGGAGGAGCTCAGACAAGCGTTTTAGCCCCCTCAGAATGAGTTCCGGTCGAGAGCAGAGTTTCTCGACCTGCAGCAAGGTAAGCCTGACGTTCATGCTTACGACCAACGTGCGCGGTACTTGGTCTCGAACATCGTGACCAACCCGATCGACGAGGCGACCAAAATCGTCACGTTCATGAAGGGCTTAAAGGATGGGTCGGTTAAGACCTATCTCTTCCGAGAGTACCCAAGTACTCTCGGAGCTGCGATTACTCTTGCGATGCAAGAGGGGTTTATCCTGAAGCAGGCTAAGATGCATGCGAACATGCCATTCTCAGCACGTTCGCTGATGAGAGCGGGAGGTTTAGAGCCTTTGGACCTCTCGAGAGCTTCTGCTGTTGGGCGCCAATAGCGTATTGGGGGATACGTGCGGTGTTACCGATATGGGTACATTGGACACTTTGCGCGTGAGTGTGCACTCGGCCAGGGTCCAACGTGGCGATGCCGGCATGCTATCAAAAACATGCAGAACCAGTAAACGCGGGACGCCCTATTGGTATTTCAGTCGCGCGTGGCTACAACGGACACGCGACACTGAGGACTGCAGTCCCCAGCAAGAGGAATTCTCGCTGCAAGAAGCAAGATGACAAGCCAAATTCTGTCATCCTGAAAGTGACGTCGATGAGAGCAGGGTCTCTTCGTGCTTTGGCTTACTCGGGTGCGCCGAACAGCTTTGTTCGATTGGAAAGTCTCCCGAAGTTAGTTAGACGTCGAGGAAGTTAGAACACCTCGAAGTGTATTTGAGGTACGGTTGGCAACAGGTGCCACCGTAAGGACGGAGAAGCGCGTAGTACGCGCGCGCTTCTCGTACAAACACCGGGTGTTGGTGGAAGATCTCATCGTCCTGGAGCTGGACGATAAGCTTAACCTGGTATTGGGCGGCTTAAACGGCATGATCCAGTGATCATCTGGGAGAAGTGTACACTTGTACACTACGGACGCAACGCGACAGAGAGCGATGGCCCTGTCGGCGCATGCACCACGAGATGCATCCAATCCCACCGTTGGTGCCCATGCACAAGTCGCAGCGACTGAGGCAGTCGTTGGGTCTGGCTTAAATCGGAAATCAGATTTGAGACACGTTCATACTTCAATGATCGTATCAGCTCGGAGAGTTGATGTACTTGTACTTGTCACAGGCAATAGCTGTGCCGGTGGTGCGTCGGTCCCGGGGACTGACGCATCAGATATGCAAGGGACGCCAGCTACAGACGGTAGCTGTGATGTCGGCGTGTCAGCTCTGGGAGTTGATACGGTCGTGATTGGATCAAAAATCACGAAGAGCTCCGCCGAAAGGCGTCGAGGTAATAAGGACGTGTCGACTCCGGGAGTCGACACAAACACGATATCAACATCGAGATGGAACGCCGCGGATAGGCGAGGTGATGACAGGGCTTCTGCTCCGGGGGCGGATGATACGGTAAGCAGTGTTAACGGTTGTAAACGTCCACACTTAAAACGCTTGCGTGGTCGCGTTCAACCGGGCTGCACCAAGAATCGGAATGCATTCAAGCCGGGCTTGATCATTCGCGTCCGCGGAAAGATTCCGCCGATTCTTTCGGCTACAACGGAAATCCGTCCAAGGGCGGGCCTGGACGAGAAACATGTGAAGCCGGGCATCACAAGAACAAAAGACGGCGCAAGCGACGAAAGCTGTGCAAGTCTCGGTCCGGGACCGATGCAATATGAGCGATTTCTGCCGGGCAGACATCAGAGATGACGTCGTGCGTCGAGACGTTGAACGTCTTGACGCGGACTAGTACTGGTACCAGTACCGGTCAATGCAACCGGAGAATCCTCCGACGAATGCATCGGAGCTGATGCCGCTTCCAGTCATGGTCTGGATGCGCTTCGCGAATGACCTGTACGATGGGCGCATCGAACAGATATGCATCCTTTCGGACAGCGAAAGGGTGGAAAGTGAAGAGGAGGAGTTGAGGCAACCCCACGCTGCGAATACCGCTGAGAGTAAGAACACTCTCAGCGCGAAGACAAAGAAGCAGCGCTTCGACGAGCAGAGCTAGGATTCATTGAAGTCGAGTCCCTTCTACGATGTTCTGCTAGAGCACAAGGATGTGCTCCCGGAAGAGATTCCTGCGATAGTTCCGCAATGTAAGGGCATACAGCACGCGATCGACCCCGTGCC